AGACTGATGCAAGCAACAAGTAAATATATAAATATGTTGATATATCTGATTTTAGACAAAGTGGGTCTCGATCCTTAATCATGTAACACATTGTCATAGTTGGGTACTTGGCCAATGTAATTATGGGCCCTTAGAAGAAAGAGAAAAAAGATAAACCATGGCTGAAGCAGTCATCAAATCTATACAAAGCATTTACCAAACGAATCACAGATAAAAGGCTTCTGAGAACATTTCCATATAATGTTACTTGCCAGTAAGTGTTTTTTCTTCATATTACTTTACTTGATAGGATTTTTATTTGTTCATAATTTTGAATAAGTTTGCTGTAAAAGTAATTTATTTTCTTGCATGTTTTTTTAGCTCACCAGAACGTAAGGTCTAGGGTGAGCTATTAGTATCAAAGGGGGATACTCCGTCGTCTGTCGTCATGCGTCAACAATCATCTCTGAAACTGATGAGCAGATTTACCTCAAATTTGGTCTGTAGCATCCATGTGACAGTCAAACTTAATGTCATTTCAATTAGCCCCTTTTAGGGGGTCAACAGAGCTAAAAATAGAAAAACATTTAAACATCGTCTACTACTAAATTAAATGATTGATGATCATTAAAATGTGTCTATATCATTCTTAAGTAGTCTTTTATCAAATTTGCTCATTTTAATTTGATTGGCCCCTTTAAGGGGTCTCTAGAGCTAAAAATAGAAAACCTTTAGACATCTTTTTCTACAGAACTAATTGATGAATAGTCTTTTATTAAGTTTGCTCATATAAATTTGATTGGCTCCTTTTAAGGGCCGCTTAAGCTAAAAATAGATATACCGTTAAACGCCTGTTTCTACATAACTAATTGATGGATGATCACCAACTTTTGTCCGTAGCATTCGTAGTTAGTCTTTTATCAAATTTGCTCATATTAATTTGATTGGCCACTTTTAGGTGCCGCTTTAGCTAAAAATAGAAAAACCTTTGAACATCATCTTCTACTGAAATAATTGATGGATGATCACCAAACTTTGTCTATAGCATTCTTATGTAGTCTTTTATCAAGACCTGTTCTAGTGGTCATTTATTCTGCATTATTTCTACATAGTCTATTAGGTACACATTTGTAACATAGATATTTCTAACAAAGCCTTTCCAAAATATTAGGGTATAATATTTCAATTAATATAGTAAATGATGAAATGATGGGTAAATTAGTGATCTTTGGCCATCTAAGTGGCCCTTTTGTTTATTATGAAAAAAACCCCAACAACAACAGAAAACAACAAAAACAATCATTGTTATGAAAATATATTACTAGAGGGGCAAGTTAACGTTGAGCTGAACTTTCAGCAAGTTCATATGAAAAATAATTGACAACACTGAAAAACAGTTGTTTCTGGAGAGCGAATCAGGGCCATCATGACCCTCCTGTTTTTTTTTGTTGTTGTTTTTTTGTTGTTTTTGTTAAATTAAACAGATTTCTCAATGAATTATTTACCAATGTAAATCGAAATGTGCTACTTTCCTGAAAAATAATGTTTGGAAAAAAATATTGGGCAGTAGGATAACAACATGAAGTTAACGCAATCACTTGATATAGGTTTCCAATCTATTACTTTGGAAATATTTTCTCTACTATCCTTTGATTTTAGTTTAGTAGGTCATTACTCTTAGATGACCATTTTATGGCATTTTGTGGCATTACTTTATGTCATGTTAAACCCATGTAACCCATTTAATGTGAGGTGATACTGTTTCAAAAAGATATTTTAGTAAACGATAACTCACTTGAGCTTCAGCATAGATTATGGTAATCTTGGGTCAAAACTAGGTCACAAAGTCAAATCCATTAAACAATGCAATACTTTTTCAACTCACTGTTTTGTTTTGGATAAAATCATTTTTGTCAATTATTTTAAGAATGGATATATTATTATATAACCTAAAAAATTAGTCTAAGGTGAATAAATAAAGTCCATTTCTATCCCCTCTAAACAATTTGTGCTGAACTAAAACTGGTTTATCATTTTTTACAACAGAAACAACATCAGAGTTGGAAACGTTTAATAACCACTTGTTGATGTATGCACCAAAAATAAATGCTTGCAGGTATTTTTTTTTTTTCATTGTGCCCTTACTTTAGCGGGGGGGGGGGGGTGTCATTTAGATTTACCCTTGTCCGTCCGTCCTTCCGTCCATCCATTCCTTTTGTGTCGCACGTAGCTCAAAAGTATTTGACCTAGAATCATGAAACTTTACAGGAATGTTAATCAGCATGTGAAATTGTGCTCCTGGGTATTTTGGTGTGGATAGATTTAGTATTTTTAAAGTTGCTCTTGACTTAGTAAAAATTTACAATTTTCAACTTGTGTCGTACATAACTCAAAAAGTATTTAACCTAGAGTCATGAAACTTTACGAAATGTTGATCAGCATGTGAACTTGTGCACCTGGGGTTTTGCTTGTAGATTTATTCTGTTTTGTCAGAGTTATTGCCCTTGACTTAGTAAAAATTTACAATTTTCAACTTGTGATGCACATAGCTCAAAAAATGTTTTACCTAATGTTATGAAACTTTACAGGAATGTTGACCAACATTGTGTAGTTGTGCACATGGGTATTTTCGTTTAGATTTATTTAGTATTTGTAGAGTTATAATCCTTGACTAAGTAAAAGTTTGCAATTTTCAACATGTGTCATATGTAGTACAAAAAGTATTTGACATAGGGTAATGAAATTTGACAAGAATGTTGATCAGCATGTAAAAAGACAAGAATAAAGATCAACAGGGCAAAGGCAACATTCACAGGACGCAAAAAGTAAAGTTTCGCATCTGGGGTTTCTCTTGTTTTGTCAGAGATATTGCCCTTGACTAAGTGAAAATTTGCAATTTTCAATATGTGTTGTGCATACCTCAAAATGTATTTAACCTAGATTCATGAACCTTAACGGAAATGTTGGTCAGAATATGTAGTTGTGCACCTTGGATGTCGCTTGTGCATTTATCAAGTATTTGTAGAGTTATTGCCCTTGACTTAGTAAAAACCGTTTCATTATGTTGTGTTATTTGTTCCTTGAGTGCTTGAGTTAGAATCAATCAACTTTGCAGGAATAATGATCAACCTCACTGTGAAGCTATGCACCTGGTATTTTGCATGCGTTTTTTCAGTTTTGTTAGTCTAACAGTGTTTGCCCTTGACTTAGTTTAAATTTGTAGTTTTCAACTTGTTTATGCATAGATCAAAGTATTTGACCTGTAGGCCTGAAAGTTTACAAGAATGTTGGTCAGCATGTGTACTAATGCACCTTGGGGTTCACTTGGAATTGTTCAGTATTTGTAAAGTTCTTGCCCTTTACTTAGTAAAAGAATTTTAGTTTTCAACTTGTGGCACATCAAGCCTAAAAATATTTGACCTAGAGTCATAAGATTGACTAAACAGTGATGTGTGGGGGCACCCGTACCCGTGTCCTATGGACACATTTCTAGTATATATCTACGTTTTAAGTTTTCAAATGTGATTATGGTCTTTGCATGAATTCTGAAAGTATTATAATTTCAAAATAAATTTGATAGACTCAGTGCCACCTGCTTAACTTAAAGCGATAGTAAAGAATTTTTTATCTGTTACTGGTTAGTTATCCACTGTTTCCTGGATAATCCAGGATATCTGGAAAGACTGGCACTGGAGAAATGATAGGAATTTAAAAGCAGACAAATAATGGATTAATAAAAATACAGGCAAGAAGATTTTATTTTTTAACATTCAGTCTGATATGTGTTGCAGATTGTTTTGATCTATACATTCCATTGTATATATCATAATGTTTTGTTCTTGTGTTATTGAAAGGGTATTATTAGCAAGCATGCATTTAAATTCATAAACATGTATTTAATTACAGGTGCAACCATTTACCATTTCAAACAGTGAAAGCTTAAATCTTTCAGGATCTTCGTAATGTTTCAACGAAGAACCAAAGTTATAAAATCTTATAACAGGCAATTAATACACAATATTTGAACACAAACTTTCATTTCATGATTGTTTTCTTACTAAGATTCACATGATTGTATTAAATACTTTTTGCTCAAATGATATTACAATACAGTTTCTGAAGTTGATCTAGAAATCATTTTAGACCAATTTCAAGGACATTTAGACCAAAACACTACTGTGTAACATTGTAGGTTTCATTGATAACCGCAGTATGAACACATGTGCGAATGTTTCTAAATTCAAATTTCATTTCTTTTGTGTTTAAATGTTGAATTCTGCTTAAGCCGGTGCTAGGGGGCGTTGACAATAGTTTACACTTGACAGTATAGTCCATGACCAGGCTCAATCAAACCGAGCCTGCAATATTTTACAATTTTGCCGTGTTGGGCTTTCTTTAGGGATTCTGTTTTTCTCTATTTCTCCATATTTGGTCTGTGCGACCTAATGTTTTACCTAGGATAATCCATTTTCGAATATGAGCTAGAAAATTATCAAACATGAGCTAGTAAATTACCAAAACAACCTTTCTGACAAATTTTAAGGATGTTTTGGTTGCACATATTACCTCTAAAGTGTAAACAAGGTGTTTCCATATTTGGGCTGTGTGATCTAGTTTTTGACGCCAGGTGACATTTACACTTGAGCTAGATAACATCAAAACAATCTTTCTGACCAATTTTCAGAATATCCGGACCAAAATAGTAGCAGCTAGAATGCTAACAAGATTTTTATATTTTTAGCTCATGTGACCTAGTTTTTCATCCTGCGAGATTACCCATGTTCTATCTCGTCCGAGCAATTACTTGGACAAAATCCTGTCCAAGTTTGGTGACAACTGAGGCAAAAATGTAACCACTAGATTGTAAACAAACTAAATGTTGACAAACGACGGACGACAGACGACGGACGCTGGACATTCACCGATTCTTAAATCTACTCCTGAGCCAGCTTACGTGAGTTAACAAACAACACACATTTTTTTTACAAATGAAAGGAATTTAGTAGATATATTTGTCTTACCATTGATGCTGATAATTTGAGAATCACTGTGTGATCCGTCTGAACACACCAACCTTTTCCCGATGTTTTTCACTTTTATTATCGTCAAATTAAAAATACCTTCTGTCATATCGACTGAAATTTCGAAGTCTTTATCATAAACAGGATTGACATCACAAACTTTTCTTATACATTGAGCAATTCGTGTTTCTTCGTCTGAATATCTCCATGAGATAGCGGATGTGACCTTCGTAAAAGAGCAAATGAATGTTATATTTCTGCCACAACCATATTGAGTGTCGTCAGTCAAACTGCTTGCCTTTTGTACAACAACATCTGCAAATTAAAATGAAAGATCGTTGGAAGAATATGGAACGCAATAGCTGCCTCATGGTGTTACATTTCTTTTTATTTTGCTCAGAAAGCGTCTTATAATGTCAAATATAAGCGTTGTAAGGCCATTGTAATTTGTCGACTTGTCTAAACAATGCCTTATTGTCTAAACAGAAGTCTAATCTCTTTAAAATGTGATGTTGACTTGTGTAAAGATTGTTTATTTTTTCCAAACAGAAGTGTTATGTCAAAATGTCGTTTTGGCTTGTCTGAAATGTGTCATATTATGTCAACTAGTCGCGCTATTTGGTCAAATTGTGGAGCTTTTTTGTCTAAAGACTGTCTGATCATTCTAAACAGTAGTGTTCTATTGTGGTAATATAGTGTTGACTTGTAAAAGCACAGCTTTATTTTTATCAAACTGCCATGCTATTTTGTCAAAATCCGGTGTTTAAATGCCTTAACATTGTCTTATTGTGTCAAACAACTGTGTTAATTTGCCAACGTACACTACTTAGTTGTCTTTTTATATCAAATATTCGAATTACCTTGCCGAAATGGGGTGTTGAGTCTGTTGACTGGGCTAAATCATGCCTTATTTTGATAAACTTTATGCTATTTTGTTAAAAAGCGGTTTTGACTGGTTAAAACTCAGTGTTATAAAGTCAAAATATTGCGGTATCTTGTCGAAATGTGGTAATGACTTGTCTAAACTCTTTCTTATAATGTAAAACAGAAGTGTTATATTGTCGAAATTTGATGTTTTTCTTGTAAAACACAGAAACAGTCTTATTATGCCTGATATTTGTGTAATTTTGTTCAAATTTAGCTCTGTCTTGAGAAAGTGCTGTCTGATTTTGCTAAACTGTCCCGTTATCTTTTTGCTCTATCTTTTCACGCTCCGCGCAGGCTCTTGTCACGTGATACTAAATTTTGACAACATCGCATCTGGACAGGATAACACGATTATCTGACATAATGAGTCGGTATTTAGACATGTTAACGTCATAATAAAACTCAGTGTTATAAAGTCAAAATATTGCGGTATCTTGTCGAAATGTGGTAATGACTTGTCTAAACTCTTTCTTAAAATGTAAAACAGAAGTGTTATATTGTCGAAATTTGATGTTTTCTTGTAAAACACAGAAACAGTCTTATTATGTCTGATATTTGTGTAATGTTGTTCAAATTTAGCTCTGTCTAGATAAAGCGCTCTCTGATTTTGCTAAACTGTCCCGTTATCTTTTTGCTCTATCTTTTCACGCTCCGCACAGGCTCTTGTCACGTGATACTAAATTTTGACAACATCGCATCTGGACAGGATAAAACGATTATCTGACATAATGAGACGGTATTTAGACATGTTAACGTCATAAACCGGCAAGTTATCGCCACTGTACTACATAATGATACTGTGTTTCAACAAGAAAACACCACATTTGAAAAGAAAAAATGATACTTCACCATAAAAGTTTAGTAAAATTAACACCGAACCTTGACAAAATGAAATGACACTGGCAAAAAGATAGTAATTTAAGACAAGTCATCACCATGTTTCGACAAGATGATATGACTATTTGACACAATAAGACGAATATAGACAAGTTGAATCTGCATTTGGACACAATATCATGACAGTTTGACAAATCAAAATAGCGTTTTAACAGTTCAAAACCATAGTTTGGAAAGATACCACCATTATTTCACGTAAAAGGACGGTGTTTAAGCCGGTTAAAGTTTGGATAAAATAGCATGGCGATCTGAGAAAATAAAGCAGTGTTTAGACATGTCAATACCATCTTTAAAAAAGTCAACAATATTGTTTGACATAATCAAATAACGTTTTTTTAAGCAAACAAAATTCATTGGCAAGTCACATAATAAGTATGTTTTAGACACTCATGTTAAAACAGTTTTAGACAAGAAAGAATGATGTTTTGGCACAATAAGACAGAATAACACCACCTCATACAAAGCAACATAACAGTTTGACAAAACATGACAGCACTCAGCCAGGTTAATATAACGGTTGAACAAGATATCACTACAACCCGACATAATAAGACATGAGTTTGACAAGTTGACACTATGTTCCGACAAGATAACACTACTGTTTCACATGATAAGACAATTTCTAGACAAATTACCACCACAGTTGGACAAGACAGCATGCTATTTTGACATAAAAGACATCCTCTTAGCAAGATAACACCGAATTTGCAGCACACAATGACATGGCAGTCTGACGAAATGTGACGGTGTTTAGACAAGCCAATAACACATTTGGACAAGACGAAACGACAGTGTAACATAATACAACAGTGCCATAACATACGAGGATCCATTCGGCATGTTGACACCGGATTTGCACATGATAACATGACGTTTTGAAATAATAGAACAGTGTTTAGACAAGTCAGCACTACGTTTTGACAAGAGAAAATGAACATTTGACCTAATAAGACTTCGTTAAGACAGGTTCTCATAAAACGTTGGCAAGCCAACACTTCTATTATACATAATAAGACGCTTTTAGGGAAAAAGAAAACGAAATGTAACAACATGAGGCAGCTATGGCGTTCCATAGAAGAAGGTTTAACGATTTGATTATGATTATACCACCTTTATCAAAGGGCAGGACGTATTTGTTGCAAACTTGAAAGCGAAAAAAAATGGTTGCAAACTTAACAAAATGGCTTCCCGAGTCATAAATATTTACAAAGCTCGCGCGTATTTTCCGCAGGTAAGTGGGGTTGTATGTTATATAGAAATTCTTTAATACGCCCATTCCTTAAAGCAATTTAAATAAGACACTCGGTTAGAGGTTTTAAGCTTCCTATTAACTGATATGGCGAAGTTATTGAAGTGATTAGCTTTTTTATCCTCAGCTTAAGTTTTGAAACAAGACAAAATATGTATCTATCAATACTATGTAACTGTTTTAATTTGTATGTTCCAAATTAAGTTTGAATAAACAAAACTGTTTTTTTCAATCGCATTTTGGTTGCATACTTGTACTTCAAGCATTTATGGTTGCAAACTTATTATTTAAGTCGAATTTCAAACGGCCAAAGGATTCAACGATATTGATTAGTCACATAATTTTATTTCCTTACAAATTTTATACAATTGTATTACTTCACTTGCGTTTAAAATTATTTCTATATGCTATGACGATTTTAAGGGTTTCCTAATTTAGTTGTCAATTGTTATAATTTATTGGTAGAACCACTCCATGTCCCGACTTTTGTGCCCTCTCCGGCTTCCCTTCTAAGTGTGCGACCACTTCACCTCCTGCCCCTTGATGTACACTGGGTAAAAGCGAACAGGGGTTAAGAAATAAAACAAGTAAAATCACTTAAAATTACGTCTTTCTGCTAGACATCTTATTGTTAGCGAAAACGTTAATCGTGTTTGGTTTGTCTGTGAAATGTGTGAACGATGATATTTCTAAACAAAAAAAAATTTGCTTTAAAAAAAATCATATTCTTAGGTTTTGATAACGTTGATACTTTGATATTTAATATTAATATTTAAGGAAAATAAATATTACCTGTTTTAATGGCAGCAAGTGCTAATGGCAATACTAGCAGTGAAAAGATTGCTTTACTCTGAAAAGTAAAATACGGGTCCAACGGTTGTATGGCTGAATATATTTTGTTTGTTACATACATGCTAATAGGTTATTTCAATCAGAAGTCAATCTTAATATATTTATGTTGTTTGCCATACGTCTCTTATGTAACTTTTTGAAAATTGGAAAAAAACTTTAATAGTTATCATGAACTGCAAACATGGTCATGAACTGCAAACATGGCCATAAACAATTAAATTAAATATCGAGCCTCTGTAATAAAACATCATATTCTACTGTTAATTCAGTCAATTACAGACTATAATATAAAAGTTAAAGAACACATTGTAATAACTTGTAATGAAAATGTAATATGGCTGGAAGGGCGTTTAATGTTATATCCAATTTTATGCCCTATATGTACTCCTGTAAATGTTATCCCATAAGTTTCAAAGTTCAGACAGAAAATACAAAATTCCGAAATAATGTGTTATTATAATTTAAGTAAAAATTGACCAGGCGTTAAAGCGTGAACACGATTTAGAAGTAATTATGAAAGCACATATAGGTAAATTGTTATATTTCAGAACAGTTGGTCTATATGATGAACTATGAAGTAGTAAGTCGAGATTAATAACTGTACATGTTCTTAAATACTTACATTCATTTTCGGGACTGGAGCAAAATAAAGGCAGCTGGACAGAATATGATAAGTGCCTCGGATTATGTACAGACTTTGACCTATGGAATTTACCAAATGTGATATTCTGAAATATAAAGTTTTATAATTCACATGTATATTGGCGTTATTATGGTGATCGTATTTTAAACGATTTTGTTTCGGCTATTCTTTTTGAATTATCAACTGTTGAGAACAAATGTCATGAAATGGTTACAAACAGAATATAAAGTAAGTGAACCGCCATAGAAAACAGGAGCAAACTCCATAGCTGTGTAATAATTCAGGCTGGTATTATTACTTATTTTTTTTGAGCGGTAGTGCATGTGTCTACAGAAATATCTTAAGAAACAGTATTTATTTAACGGTTATAAACGTTGCAGAAATGTCTTTAATTCGATCTTTACCCTATTTAAGCTTTGTGAATAATTGTGTCATATCACATAACCAATAATTATGCTTAACCCATCACCACCGTGTATATCCAGTAACGCAGGATTGTGCAAACAATGTAGGAATAGTCCAAATGTAACGCATAATTGTACAATTTAGTGGCTAAAACGAGCATCGCGATAACAAAATGGACCAATAATTTTCATTGTACACAAAATTGGAAGACATGAATAAGCGCATACGGTTGCTTAGACATTAAACTTTAAACCTTATCAAAACTATTTCCCTGAAAATGTTTATTTTTCAAGATCATTCGTGAAAACGACGACCTGACTAGCGTATTGATGGCGATTTTTAGTTTCGTTGACATCTTAATTCTTCAAATGCAATAACATACATATTAATTTATGATTTTTATATGCGTTGTACCTGAAGCATTTTCCAATCTAGTCGTGTCATATTACACTTAATTAACAGATACAACGTAATTGAGACCATTTTTACGAGGTAAAGCCGGATTCGTGAATGAAGCACTGAAGCAACGGCGGTTATGTCATTAAAAGTAGCCAAATCTTATTTTACGAGCTTCCTTATATTATTATACGATACTTGTAGTTTGACAAATGTTTTAGGTATACATGTATAGAATTTGAAAAAAAATAATGTTTTAAATGTGTCAAATGTACATATTTTTTGACGAAACACAAAAGTCACCTTCAAAACGGTAATCAAGTTGACTTTCTCACGAATGATTTAAAAAGGCAAACATATTCCTAACAAAATGTAATGCTGGGTAAAGTATAGCCGTTTGTGCTAATTCATTTCTTAAAATATGATTTAGAATTAAATATTTTAGTGCGTTTGCTTACTGTGTTATTCGTTTTGGCAATAGCGTTGCAAAGATTCGGCGTTACTTTTACGTTATTTGCACATTCCTGCGTTACTGGATATACACGGTGATCATCGTGATTAAGTTTAACAAAATTAGAATTGATATGTGATCTTTTTTACCTTAGAAGATTCATATGCAGCTATTCCAGTATCGTTTTAAAATGAATATTTCCTTGCATAAAGTATTTCAAAACATTGAAGAATGAAAAAAAAAATCAAGTTTTTATTGTCGATTAAAATACAAATACAACGATTCAAGTTGAAACAAGAATACCACTGTATATCTGATACTCAATATCTTGTTTTCCATTATGGTATATACCTGTTTATCATTTCATAACTAAATGTATTGTACATTTTTCTATCTCAAAATAAAACTTTTCTAACCATTCAAGACGATAAAAATCTGATTTATAAGCACGTTCATTGACAATAACTGCTGTTTATACTTGTTTGGATGGTGTTGGTTTGATTTTATGTTTATGTGTTTGACTGCCTACTTTCCTGGCTATCAAATAAAATAGAGTAAAACAGAATCCCTAAAGAAATTCCAACACAACAAAATTGACAATGTTGCAGGCTCGGTTTGATTGAGTCTGTTCATGGACGGTACTTGAAAGTGCAAGTTACCGTCCACGCCCCTAGCACCGGCTTAAGCAGAATTCAACATTTAATGGTGACATTTTGAATTTAGAGACATCTGCAGATGTGTTCATACGGCGGATATCATAGAACCTTCACAGTGACACAGTAGTGTCATTTCATAAAAAGCGGCGTATGGTCCCCAAGTAAAAGAATGCTTTTGCCCCAAACGAGAAAACAATGGGCATAACTAAATAAAATGGAATTTTGAAAGGGGATCCGAGGTTATGAAACCTGCATATCACAGATAAGACGTCAAAAGATAAATTTAAAAAGCAGGCAACATATCCTAAGGGTGATAATACAGTATTCAAGTAGGAATACTGGAACCACCCAAGTTAAAAATGGCCAAAAAGAAGAAACTAAAAGTACCACATAACATGTTAACACAACAATAATGAGTCGCAATATATAACTAAAAGAAGTCCGTCCCGACGTCTTAAAGGGAGGCATAGCAACAAAAAAATCACCAACAACACAGACGACGAAAATTAAAAACAATTCACTCCAAAAAAAATAAATGAACTGCATAGATTAGATGGACACTAAAACAGAAAGATTATGAAATATACTAGAAATGAAAATCGTATTTTCTAAGACCAATTTGATTGGTAACCGTTGAATAGAAAAGAATAATTATTCTGAAAAAAACGGAGCAGGCGAATGACCTATGAATTTTACACACAGGTTCTAGTTCTGTCATGTCATGGAACTTCAGTGTAAAGTCACCAATGAGTCGTCCCTCACTTAGTCCATCAGATGCAATCAAAGGGCGAAAGCGTTGCGTTCAACTGTAAAAGCAAGCATGCGAAATGCCTTGAAAAAATTGGGCCATAGCCTTATTTAATCAAACAATTAATAATTGTGGGTACTTTTTGTTTGTTTGTCTGGGGATTGGCAGTCTGTGACTGCCTTTTATCATGCTAAATAATATTTGTTAAGCTTTTGCTATTCTATCGTCAAGCATAATGCTACCAAATTATCAATCTTTTGCCACAAGTAGCTCTGAGCATAATACCAAGATCACACCAAAATGAACATCACTGCTGCTGCCCCTGTCATCGAAGGCTTGATTCTTAGACAAATAATAAATCGATGACTTATAATTATTAGCAGTGGATAAATCGGTACAAATCCCATATGAAATATTGACAACATACGCTTAGAGACTAATAACCCAGTAGTAGAATTATATGGTCTGTCTTAAAGGAGTGGAAATCAACATTAAATTTATAGTAAGAGCCTGTGGAATTCTGGACATTTAAAATGTAAAGTATTTTAGTTGTTAACCGGAACACGGGAAATATCCTTTTATATTAAAGCCACTGTCGTTGATTTTATGTTGATGTTTAAATGACCCTTAGGGAGACTGTCATTCAAACAGAATTTGTACTTTCCATTTCCAGCTAGTAGGATGCAGACATTGACACTTACAAAACTCATTTTGGTCATCTGGACAGCAAAAAAATGGGGATCGACATGAAACCCATGTTATGAACGAAATGACCTATTTTTGTGCTGAAAAGCTGCATTGTGTTATCGTTAGTTACTCATTATGTAACTTCACCCTTTGTGTGGAAGCTTACGCCCTTAACACAATTTATACACTTTGCAGATTAAAGCTGAATGTAAAAGAACTTTTCAAGAATATGAAATCTAAAATATATTTTTTACTAGGTGAATTACTAATATAAGAATAATCGTACACATCTTCTTAAAGCGTTAATCAGGATTTGTATCTATCAATATACATTGTATTTTAAATATCCATTATGCCTCAGAAATGCTAATAATCCTATTTCTTAAGCTTTATTTTTTCGTTATCTTGTTACAGTTTAGCCATATTCATGACATATCTTTTGCTACTATTGCTTTGTTGACAACTAGTATAATTAATGTGAATTAGTATTGAGGCATATTGAGCCTTTGAATGACTTTGAATGATATAAAGTTTTATGCTAACCCAACCGATGCATTTTCCTCGCTTTGACCTTGAGTACCAGAAGTATCTGATTCTAATCGAGATATTTAATCTTGCTAGGTTCCTTATCACTCCTTGTTATATGATCTACAAAGTTTAAACAATGGTTAAGATGTATCTCTCTGTGCTAGTTACGATGTCATTTTTTGCCAATGTAGGTATATTTTATGTTTTTGAAAAATGAATTCAAAATTTAGCATCAGCTTCAAAAAAATCATCGTACCCTCTCATTCAATGTACTTTTTATATCATTTGATTGCCCATTAGAAGTTTGTTAACTATTAAAAGCTTAGTAATACTGATTGACTGTGTATTCTTAATCATTTAAAAAATTATCTCAGAACAATCTGGTGTTCAGATATATTTATGTTTTGCTTGATTAATTATATCTGATCTATTTCTAATAAACAGATAAATACTTCTAAATAAGGACAATTATAGAGTGACGCGGTGGCCTTGCCCACTTTTACGGTAGCAAGTTACAAGTTACTAGTCAAGCAGACTTGATATGTAGGGAAAGGGCGTGAAGTGGTTTCACACTTGGTGCAAGCGAGAAAATTGGTTGCAAATTTGACAAAATGACCATCTAGTCATGAATATAAATTTAACAAAAATTTAAGTGGGTTTGATGGTTTTTTTAAAATTCTTTAATATACACATTCCTTAAAGCAATGTCAATAGTAATACGTTATTGAAGTTATGTACATATTTTGAGATTTGAAAACTGACAATCCAGGGCGGTTTTAAAGCTCATTTAGTCACATCTGTAACTTTTTGAGTTCACCAAAAAAAGACAAAATATGTATCTATCAGTACTGTGTAAATGTTTTAATTTGTATGTTCCAAATAAAGTTTCAATACACAAAAATATCTTGTTAAAGCGCATTTTTAATGCAAACTTTATTGTTTTAGTCAAATATTAAACTACCAAAGGATTCAACGATATTGATAAGTAACATATATTTACTTGAAGATTCTATACAATTGTGTTACTTCACTTGCGTTTAAAATTATTTTTATATTGCTTTGATATTTAGGCGTTTCTTTATTTAGTTGTCAATTGTTATAATTTATTGGTACGACTACTTCATTCCCAATGCCCTCTCGTGCTTTTTGTTCAGTTCCATTCTGAGTGCCTTTGCGGTAGCCCAGTGTGACTGGGGTTTGCCGTGGCCTGCATTCTCTTAATGCCGCTTTGCATTGTTGATCTTTGTTCCAGTATTTTTACCTGTTTCACAGTCATAATACACGTGCGTATTTTTTCATTTGCACGTGTCTCAGTTTATTTATGAACATGCATTATGGGATATTAAAATATTACGTATTTTCTGATCAAATCGTATATATTTCTGGCATACATTGGTTTTATTATTAATTTTGAATGTCTTACCTTTAAAAGTATAGTTTAATGAAGAATCACCATATAGCTGCCGTCAATTTGTTCAATCTATCGCTGTCTTGTAGAAATTAAATAGGTAGTATGTACTGTTATAGTGTTATCTTTACTTCAATTAATTTCACACTGTTTAAGTAATTAAATTTAAAATTGCGTATTTTTTAATTTGATTATTATCTCTACTTTCTTATTCTTTTTTTCTTCTTCTTCTTGTACTATTTTTTCTTTTTTGCTGTCAGGACACATTATATCGGCACATATTTATTACTAGAAAAACCCTGTATTTTTATTCCAATATTCAAACACACACAATTATTTATAAACTTTCTACATCCTTTTCGTTTCACGTCATAGTGCGTACTGAAAATAGATACATATAACCAGTACTATTTAACAGCCCATGTCAAGGCTAAATTTAAACATGTATCTCTTTTCGAATGAATAAATCAAACGGAGACTTCATTTCTGTTACGACGTCTTACAATTTAAACATTAAAACACATAGTAAGTAAATACTGGGATTTGTTTGGTTAGTTCTTTTATAACATTGCGTACAATACGGTCTAAATTATGTTAATCAATATATATAAATTGGTGTTATAGGCGTGGACGGTAAGTTGCACTTTCCAGTACCGACCATGAACAGGCTCAATCAAATATCGTAAACAAGATCAACAAACGTTCAATTAACCCAACCCCTCATGACCATGCAAGAAGAACTAGTGGCAAGGAGCCCAGGAGGACCGCAAAACGGGGAAAGAACATGGGACACATACAAATGTGTCAACAAAACAGTATGATACAACAAAGACATTCATCTGAGGGACACAGAGGGGCGCTGCATAAGTACTGCTGGGGAGTGTACCGAGCCTGGAGCATTTTCAATTTTGTCGTGTTGGACCTTCTTTAGGGATTCTGCATATTTCTATTTGAGTGTGACATCAGTGTTATTTGTGACGTGTGGCGACTGTAAAAAGTCTCCCCATATATTTAATAAAAGATGTTATGTTATCGAGGGGCGTCCGTGGCCGAGTGGTTCTACTCAGGTGCCCGTTCGTGCCTGAAATAATGCACGGAAGGGCACCTGAGGTCTTCCTCCACTCGTAAAGCTGGAACGTCGCGATATGACCTATACTGTGTCGATGTGACGTAAAACCCAAAACAAACAAACAAACAAAATGTTTTCGATCCTTGAACATCGTTCAGCACGACATTGTTGTTGTGTATACATGTGATGTTGTATGTCTTTCCTTCAATTGGCTATTTCTACTTGGGTGGTTCCAGTGTTCCTATTTGAATACTCTATAATCACTCTTAGGATGCATTGTCTGCTTTTTAAATTTGTCTTTAGATGTGTTGCCTGTGATATGCAGGCTTCATAAGTTCAGATCCCTTTCAAAATTCAATTTTATTTAGTTCCGCCCATCGTTTTCTAGTTAAGGGCACACGCATTCTTTTACCTGGCGGCCATACGCCGCTTTTCATGCAATTGCATTACTGTGTCACATTGAAGTTTTGATGATAACCGACGTATGAAAACATCTGCGGATTTTCATCTTAATTCCAAATGTCCCTATTTTCGTGCTTAAATGTTGAATTCTGCTTAAGCCGGTGCTAGGTACCGTCCATGAACAGGCTCAATCAATTTTGCCGTGTTGTATCTTCTTTGGGGATTATGTTTTTCTCTATTTTAGGTCAAAGTACAACATTAATATATTCATCATATTTTATCAATCGACTACATATGTTGTTTATAGTTTGGATTTATTTATAATTCTATGTCAATGCTCATTAAGTCAAACGTATTATATCGAGATTATAGTTTGTGATCATCTAACGTTTCAAGGGAAATGTATCAAAATAAATATATTGCTTGTTTGCAATATAGCCTTAAAAGTTACGTCCCTGGACTATCCAATTTCAAACCAATACATGTTGGAGTTGAGTTTATTTATTTACACAAATAAGAAATTTCCGGGACAGGCAATCTATAATTTATATTTCTTTTTCTTGGAAGAGGGTTAATTGTTGAACAGATTTGTGGGGGTCTGTCCGGCTATCTAGAGCCAAAAAGGCAGGGACCATATTATTATAGTTTTCCCGTCAAACTTTCTGCCCAACATTTTCGCACAAGAAAGATAATTATTATTATAAATTGTTTAGACTTATTATTCTTTTTTATTTGTAATTTAGCCGCGGCATATCACAAAACGTATGACATATCAACTTGAAACTTTATAGGTGGATAAATCTCATTTAGGATGAGTGCAGTGAGTAAGAACAATAACTATAATCTTTATATTTTATAGTAATTGCCTTTTGATGTAATTCATGTGTTTATTTTTGTTGAAGTTTTTTTTTCTGAAGCATAACTCAGAAGTATTCGAGACATATTCTTGAAACTTCAAAGGTGATTAGAATTAATTTGAAATTTCAGTGGATGGTAAGCCAGTAACAAAAAACTATATAAGAGAAATTTATACTTGCTTATTACATCTGAATTGGCACATTTAATTTCATTCACATGCATCTTCTTTATTATTTGAGTTAAAAGTTCTTAATATAATATTCACGGTTCATAGTTGTGAAAAGTTTCATCTTTTGTAATCTTATGCAAGATATTTTAAACACGAATTTAAACTGGAAGAATATTCAAAACATATTAACATTGGTATAGAATTTTGTATCACCTGAAAGAAACCTCAATATCAGTCAATATAGCTTCTTGATTGAAGAAAGTTTACATTCAACCGTAACCTTCATCCCTCCTGTAAAATTTGGAATTTTTGGAATGCTGACATGATGTTGTACTTATATTCTTGATTTGATTTAACTAATATTATTATAACTTGGCAGGAAATATTATTTGATTATTGGAGTGAGACCAATCATGTTTCATCAAAATCAACTTTGTCATAATTATGATACGTTAAAAAAAATTGTAATTATTATATCATATACAGTGTTATCACAGAATCGTGTTATATTACATAATGAGGTAAGTAACTTAAAATTATTTCATTTTAACATGAAACATACTCAGGCTATTTCACGTAAGTCACTTTATATAAGTCCGATTATCAATTGAATGAAGATTGTCTGTAAAAAGAATAGCAAATAACACAGAAGTTTTAGTAGAAACGATGTCACAAACATGTTCTATATACATTATAGTATTACATGTCAAAGAATAACGCATGCATTACTTGTCTGTTGTTGTCTGAGTGCTGCAGCTCTCTCTTGCCTTTGCCGATGGAGGAGAACTTGCATTGGGTTTACCCAATTATCACGTCACCCGTTTTTGCCTCCCACCAATCATAACGCTCCCAGCTACTAATAAATTATTCCGCACGGTCTCCAGATCATAGAATTTGTTTCCCATATCCCCGCATAATCTGTCGTTCTGAAAAATGCATTTGTTTAGGAGCACGTCCGGTTTCAAAAGTATACACAGATGAAGGAGAACGCTTGTATCGGTACGGTTGAGGGTATAGTAGTTGTTATAGCGTCGGAGTCTGTTGATATCATCGTCATCATCCAGTTTTAGTACTGTACACATACAGTTTAAATAGTACATCAATTTTGCTGGTGGGTCATTTGGAACTGTTGCTCTCGTGGATATGTCCTTCAGTCCAACTTCAGTTCTATTAAAAAATGCCATGTCTCTTTCTTTTACACTCGTTTCGATTAAAGCAATATAAATAAGATCACCAAGAGACAGAAAACAAACGTCTTGTCTTTTAGGCTTGTTCTATTGTAATGAAATTCTCTTACAGTTGAACCGTGGACATGATTCACATACGATAAGAATGAAAAAAAATATGAAAGACAACCTTACATGTTTTAAGACATCCGGGTTGAGAAAAAACACTCCTCATAGTAACGTTAATCAGTGTACAAATAAATATAAACAACCAATATATGTGACAAGCGTTTTGTGGTACTGTAATAGAGATATAGCTGATTTCAATCCATTCTGATATAATTTGATAATTTACAATATCTTGGATAAGACATATTTTTTTGCCAAAACTGAAGTGTCTTGAAATGAATAAAAAGAATTAAAACACGTGTTTTATTGTTCACAATTTCGTAATCTAATCAATGAATAAATAAGTATTAGACTTACATCAAGTATGGAAAACAAATACAAATCGGTAACTGAAGTTATTTATTGCAAGGGTTGGGTTACATGTTTGAACACATACGCTCACTTGTATCTAACCTTATAAACAATGATGACTTTGCAGGATTCATTTGCTTTCACCTTTTACTCTGATATGTCAACAATGGAAAGCTCGAAAAAAGCTGTGTAAAATAAACGAATTTTAGATGTTGTAGTAGTAAAAATGGCCAATCTTGTTCCTAATCTTTGCTTTGGTATTTAATGCAATCTGTGGTCAATTTGTTTTAGCATACATCTTATTTTGCACACATTTACC